AATTATTCAGTCGTAATATGCACATAAAAAAAAATTATTTCAGGAAATATTCCAATATAAACCTTAAATATTGCTTATGTTGGCAGAGCATAAACCAGGAAAATGTAATAAACAGAAAATGGATTTTTTTGTTTTGGATACGGAAGTTATTCACAAGTAAGACAGGTTGTTTCGTAGCACGTACAATAGTGTGTATAAATATTTTCCAAATAAAACTACAAAACATTTCAGCTATGTATCTTTTTTTGTTTTATTTATAAAGCTCGTACTCTTTTAATAAATCAAAATATAGTAATTTCCTCGTTTGTTCTATCCCCTATCCTTCCATCAATCCATCCCAGTTTCCAAATATAATTTGAAAACATTTTATAACACATTAGAAATAAATGTAAAAAAAGATAAATACAAAGTTTGTAAAACGAACCGTTTCATTTTAAGTTTACTAAAATCAGCTGGTAATTGATTGAGGCCTGCAAGATGTATAAAATTCATAAGAATATTTAAAATCTTCCTAGAATAACGGACATACCGTTTATTTGTTTGTATATTGTTTAACGTCCCTCTCCAGAATTTTTCAATCAAATGTAGACGCAACTATTCGCCGGTGGAAGGGTACACATTTTAACATATGCTCTCGGAACTCATGACTGATATCTTTGAATATAATTTATCCTTTTAAACTATTAAATATCTACATATTTGGTACAAAAAAAATTACACTATTATTTCTTTTAATTTCGAAAAAAAATTTTTAGAATTGATTTGTATTTATTACTGATAATTGTTATACATTTAAAAATTTTGTTCCTATACATAATATGCGAAAAATTATTTCAATGTTTTGTTGAGTGAGCAAAACAAATCGATGTTGGATCGCTATGTGAGATGTTCGACCAGTTAGTGAGATGTTGGACCGCCTACGTAACAGATTAGGCGGATCTTTATCTCATTTTCATTCGTTGGCGTTCAAAGATGACTGACTTAATGTTATATCACGGACGACAGTACAAAATACACGCATGACAAAAAATAAAATGAAAGGTATAAAGGCCTCAAGCAAACAATTTGGTTTTTAGGTCCGAAAAAACGCATTTTGCCCTCGAACTCAGTCAATAAATGTACACTATACTGCTGATTTACAAAAGTGACATTCATGTAAGACAAAAATATAAAATTTCCGTAAAACATTGTCAGTTAGCAATCCCTACAACATATAAAAGAATCAGTATTTGTGGGACTGTGTCGCAAAGTAGGGACCTCACAACTGGTGGCCATGAGTAAAGATGTAAAGGACAATAATGATATGGTAGACAATCAAATGAAAACAGGTGATGGGAAAAGTGTGGTGTTTAGTTTTCTATGATATAGTAAAAACTGGATGCCACTCTGTAGTAATATAACATATGATTAGAAGACATGAAGGCCACAAATGGAGAATTTCTTTCTTTGTCTTTTCTAAACTTACAACAATAAAACCATTATAGACTACATAATGACGATTTTAATTGTGTTCCTATCACACAAGGACAGCGAGTTTTGGTTGATTTGTAAAATTCAATACCTCACTGGTGTCAAAAAAAATCTTCTAGTGTGTTTCTGGGTCTGTTTTTAACTCATCCTCAAATGGTTGTATGAGGGGTCTGTCCAATTTTTCATTCCAAATTAAAGTATGTTAATGAGTAAAATCCAGGGCGTCAGAATATATCAATTATTTAATTGAATTTATGGATTGTTTGAGAAGTGTTTTGATTTCCTTCTAGACAGTCCCTCCTGTATGCCTTATATTATAAATATCCTACATAACCCCAGACTCTCCATCTGTACAGATGAACATACTCTGATTTCTGATCATGATTTTGATAGAAACCTAAATTTACACTTACGAACAAACTGAGGTACAGAGCTGACAAAACGTCCTTTCACATGCTGAAATTAGATTGTATTTCTGACATGATGTACATAGCCATGTATTATTACAAGACACTTAGATACATGGAACCTTTATCTATTACAAAGATGATTAAGGTCAAATTAGGACAGCCATATGTGATGTTCAATATTGTAGGTCTAAGTATGTATACTGATGCTGTATGGGGGCAGTCCAGGTTTACAAAAATAAGACAGGCTGTAGCATGGGATATCAGACTTGAAAATGGAATCAATTTCATCGAGGAATTGATTCCCTGAATTTTTGTCCCACCCTTTATACCATTTCCTTGGTAGAGATCTTGTGCTGCAGACATGAAGACACAATAAAAGTACGAACAGTTCAAGGTGACCTGATTCTTCTTCTAAACCACTGTTTGCGAAACTTAACAGTTAACAATTTATGAACTAGTTGATCTATACAAATACATATTATTATACAAAATTTTCAGTGGAATGACTCCCGAATATCTTCATAATTTATGAATTTCAGTCTTCAACTTCTTATAACCTGCGATCTGAAACTAATTATGATCTTAGATTATCAAAATTTCGTACAAAATTATTCAAGACCTCTTTTCAATATTCAGGTATACATCTATGAAATAAACTTCCCCAACACATTAGATTCTCTCAATCTCTACGAACATTCAAGCGTAATGTGGAAAATTACATTATCAGCTGTCGTACAATCATTTGAGCATAATAAGAGTTCAATTTTGTATATTGTACTGTTATTGTTAAAATGTGTCTGTATCTGAACACTCTATTCATACTTCAGTGATTGTAATTCCTAAAACCTATTATATGTACTTAATTGTATATATTATGATGAATTGTATCTTGACGAAGTTTATATATTTTGTATTTGATATATGTATATATATATTTAGGGTACTAAATTTTTATATAATTTAGTAAATTAATATTTTGGATGTCTGCGTTTGCTTTGTTCCTATTTTGTACTGTTTTATGGACTTTGATATTGAATACTGTTCGTTATCTCCAAATCCTTCATTTCATAGATCATTATTTTGACATTCATAATAGATGGCTTAAAAAAAAAAATTAATTCTATATTAAGGCATGTCGTGTATGTTTTGTAGTGATTAAAATATATGCAATGGTTTAATGAGAGTATATGGGAAAATGGTAAAGACATTAGTAAATCTTCCAATTATTCGATAACGTCGTAGAGGGATTGGGGTGGGGATAGGGTTAGACATTGGCTTTCAAAATCAGATGGTTATTTTCTTCAAAGTGGCAGAGAGACTGAAATGGTCGTCCCACTAAGAATTTGAAAGTAAAACAATCTTTAGACAATTTACAACTTCCTTGATCTTTCTCGATGTTGATTTTGACATTGTTATAAATATAATATCAACATTCCATGCATGAATTCCGGATCCCTCGATTTCCATGATAAGCGATACTACCTATAATGCTTTTAGGGATGCTTGCTTGCTCTGTTCACTATTTGTATTGTTTCAATGGACTTTTCAGCTTGAAAGTTGCTTGTTTTATCTCCAGAATCCGCTGAGGTCTAAAGCAGCATTTCACAATTAAATGTATTGCAGAAAATGAGACAATTTACGATGACAAATATACTTGATATTGATTGAAAGATTTTGTTTATGCAAAAACAACAAAATGTTTTGTAAAAAAGGGATTTCTTTATGCAAGAAATATAATACAGATCCAATAGCATTACCAAAATTATATCTTTTCATTAAACACGTAAGGTAAGCACTGATCATCACAAAAATAAATTTTGCCACATGATGCGTGTTTGCAGCTTAAAAATTGTACAGCAATAATAAAATCTATCTGGAATACTAAATTATTCATTTAATGGACTTCTACTTCATTAAAATTTACATTATTTTTGTTTTAAATAACAATGATTACCAATTCCTTCCAAGGAAGGGTCCATTTTACTTTTGATTGATAAAGATAAAGACTTCAATAAGGATTGATAACAAACAAAAAATTATAAACTATCCATCTCATATTATTTTACAAATCTATTATGCAGATTTTTTAAATGTATTTTCTTTATTTAATTCTGTACATGACAAAGAGAAAAATATTGAGATTATAGAGAATGTATGTCTTTATATTGAAAAACAACAGTTCAGCTATAAAGTTGTGTATACTGTACATGCATCAAAAATCAACTTCAGACAAACAACAGGTATTATTCCAAATTAATTCCAAGTTCATGAAAAATAAATGAAAGCTTTTTTATAAGTTAATTTCAATGACGCCGAACTATGGCCGACTTGGCGTAAAACAGCAATAATCAATAAATCAAGAATCAAAAGAACACTTTAGAGAGGCATTTGTAATAAATAACAATTTAAAATTCTAGAAGTGTCGAAAGAAAAAATGGTATAGCCTATAACTTTTTTATATATATTTGTTAACATTCAGCACATCTAAGCTTGATATTATAAACTTGTCCCAGAAATTTCTGGTTCCCCGATCATAATCTTTAGAACACTCAATAAAAAATAATCACGGCAGAATCCTGTCCAAACCGAAAAACAATAAAAGTTCGAGATATGAAAGACTCATGATTTGTTAGATAATCTCAGTAAAACCGTTCTCTACCAATCAAAAACATAACATGTAACAGTTCTTATGATTCTTAGTCATCTTAGATATTCTCAGTAAAATCACTCACTACCAGTCAACACCAGGTGATATATAACACTTCTGATTGGTAAGATATTCCCAATAAAACCTCTCTCTAACTATAAAAAAGGTTATATAACAGTTCTGATTTCTTAGACATTTCCAATACAACTTCAAGATATCAAATTTCTATATTTGATCATATTTGATACCCAAAATTAAACCTCTCATTACCAATCAACAACAGTAAATCTAACATTTTTGACTGGTCTACTTTATAATTAGTAGTGACATAGATAAGGAAGGTACTGCTCAAAAATTACATTTTGTTGAAGAGTTCGTGGTATATTTGCCACATGTGTCTATTACTTGTATCATAACCAATCATTATATTGAACCTTTAGACTTGTTCCTCGAAAACTATAAACTGAAAGTAGATGAATGGAAAGTTTTCTCAACTTTGTATAGCACCTGAAATTTTTCAAAATGGACTCCATAAGAAGCACACAAATGTAAGTTGTAATGACAGCAATAAATAATTAATAATGCCTAGATTATCTGAAACAGTGCACATTTTTTTTCATTTTTCTTTGCATTTTTCTTTCACCATTGTTTTAATTGAAACATTTGTTAAAAAAACAATAACATGTAATTAAAAACTTTAGAAAATTATATATCTTTTTTTGAAACATTAATGATTTAGTTAATCAACTATTTATTTCGTGATTCATGAATATTTTTATTTTATTCAAATAGAAACTTTGCACAGTCTAGAATGTTTGTAAAACAGAAAATAAATTATATTATTGATTTACAGACATGACATAATTATAATACAAGAGAAAAAATTTCCCTTTAATCATTTTTAGAAAGTTGGCCTTACAACAAATATCAGAGACAGTGTTTGTAGGACTGTGTCAGAAAGTGGGGACTTTACAACTTGTGGCCATGAGGAGAGATGTGTTGGATATCAGTGAGATGGTGGAAAATCAAGTGAGAAGTAATGGGTTCAGTAGAATGTTTAGTGGAAGTCAAAGAGAGGGATTCCGACTGAAAGGATCAGATTTTGACGAAATGTTTTGGCCAAATAATCACCGTGTGATCTGGGACTTATCTCAGTCTCAGTATTACAATACACACAGACAAACACTGATCCTCTGTGACTGTTCTGATAGTCCACCAGGATTTACTTTGTTATATTTACTGTCACCAACCATGTACGGAGACATCCAGGGGAGTTGTGTTAGAATGAAAAACAGACATTATATATCTAGTTCTAAGTACAGACAGATGGCGTGTTCTGTAAACTATACTCAACACGGACCCTGTGCCCTTAGAACAATTGGAGAAACAGATTTTGATAATGCCGTCTGTTTTGTTAGTGACTTTTGGCCTCCATCTGCCTCCTCATTGATAGACAGGTGTCATTCATGGCCTCAGCCTCGTGTTGTTGATGATATAGTAAAAAATGGATGTCACTTTGTAGCAATTGGACATAAGCTAGGAAATCATGAAGACCTTGAATGGAGAATTTCTTTCTCTCTCGCAGAACAAAAACTTGTCTATGCAATGAACCACTGTCAATATTTAACTTACGGCTTGCTTAAATTGTTCTTGACAGAAATAATTAACAATGGAGTAGGTGATGATGATAAATTACTGTGTTCCTATCACATGAAGACAGCAGTTTTCTGGGTGGTTCAACAAAATACAATACCTCACTGGTGTCCACAAAATTTACTGGGAGGTTTCTGGGTCTGTTTTAAACTTATCCTCAAATGGGTGTATGAGGGAGTTTGTCCTAACTTTTTCATTCCAGAAAACAACATGTTTCTGAGCAAAATTCATGGTGAAGCACAACATCAACTATTTATGAGATTGTATGGGTTGTATAAGACGGGTTTAACATTTCTGCTAAACAGTCCCTCCATTAGATCTTATATTATGACTTTCCTCCAAATCATAAATGTACTTCATAACCCCGACCTCTCCATATGTACAGATGAACATTTTGTGATTTCTGAGGCTGAGTTTGATAGATGTCTATATGATGCAATAATACTTATACAAATAATAAACGAACTGGACATACAAAGCTGCATAAGATATTTATATACAATAGAGCAGATGATAGGTTTACCCCTCCTGACACAGTATCAAGTTCTCAGGCTACAGAGACATACAGCTTTTGCTCTTCAGAACACTGCTTTTATATTACACATGGAAACTTACACACATAAAAACAAACTGAGGTACAGAGCTGACAAAACCTCCTGTTACATGCTGAAATTAGCAGCCAAGTTTGGTTGTATTACTGACATGCTGCACATAGCGATGTATTATTACAAAACACTTAGACACATAGAAACGTTATCTATTATAGAGATGATCAAGGTCAAATTATCTCAGTCGTATGTGATGTATATGGGTAATGTAGATACAGAGATGTATACTGAGGCTGTAGGGGGACAGTCCTGGTCTACAAAGATGAGACAGGCTGTAGCATGGGGTATCCTACTTGACAATAGAATCCATTACATCAGTGAATTCTTAGCAGAGCAACAGTCTGCTCTACAGAATGGCTGGGGTATATTAGGTTTCCCACCCTTTGTACTATTATACATGCTAGAGATCTTGTGCTACAGACACGTAGACACAATGAGAGCACAAAAAGCTCTTGATGATCTACAGACCCTAGTTCACTATGATCAGGGGCAATTTATAGATTTACGTTACAGAGACATATTATGGCAGATTCTGGGGATCTGTCAACAGGCGACAGGGAACCTCCAGGCTGCTCTATATTCATACCAACAATCATACCAACAATCTCTCAGAAAAGAACCATTTCAAAAAATAAACACAGCTACAGAAATGAGAATACAGCATGTTTGTCAATGGAATTCCTTAATAACTTCAGTGTAAGATATTTTTAGGAGTTCACAAAATCTAGATTATCAATAACAAATTATCCTATTTTCATTTCTGTCTGTTTATAATATATGTATTATAAAGCTAATATTAAATAGTCTAAAATGAAAAACTACTAGAAGTCAAGGGAATTATAGCATTCAATATCTTGTTGAATGCTGAGTTTACAATATATTTAAGAGTATGCTCCGAAACATTCTGTATAAGAGTGTCCATATATAACACCCTTTTGTAAAAAACAAATTCTGTCATGAAACGCTTAATGGCAAACTACATTGCGACATCACAGCAGTAGGATATTAAAAAAATTCAAAAAATGATATCCATGGGAAAGTCGGTATCATGGGGTAAACATGATAAAAATATCTTGTTGCCTTGTTTTTCTTGAGAAAAAGAATTTTAAATGATTTCACCAAATATTTACTACATGTATTCCTTAATCATCTTCCCCTTGAAAAAGGGTGGGACTCGTCATTTGAACAAAATTGAATCCACTTTACCACAGAATACTTTTTGCCATGTTTTCAAGATAAAAGGATATTAAAGTGTAAATAAAAAGACTCTAGACAATGTCAACAACAACGACCACCGACAACAGATATTTTTTAATCAGTTCAGTTAAAACATAAACTACAGGGCCTCAATATATCATGAATTTTCAAATAAGTACAAATCTCTGTTAAATTTTTTGTCTTTGCAATATTTGTAACTCTTGTTATTAAGTTGTCTGCTATTAAATAAATAAAACAGAAAAACCTTCCAGCCTTCTACTCGAGGTTATTGTACATCTTCACCAAATCTGCCATAGTTATCTTATATTCAAAAGATTCAGTCTATATATTAAATTAGAATGATAACTGAGATGTGTGTAGTGAACATAACAAAAATGGTGGACAAGATTCTGTATTCAAATCAAAATGGATCGTCTCAAGCCACGTTTCTGATTTCACATACAGCTTCCTCTTCTGTGGATGCAGCTTGATCACAAAAATTGTCGTAATTTCAAATAATTGTATGCCTCTGTGCTGTGGTGTTTAGCCAATGACAATATTTGTTTCCATCGATGTTGAAAACAACAATTGACTCAACAGCAAACAAGAAATGTTTTGTAAAACTGTTATAGGGTATTGATAGATCCATTAAGGTTTATTATCTGATCAATTTTATAATAGGGAAAAAACAGAAATGGAAGTATCCGATAATATAACCTGATTTAAACACATTTATGTAGTGATGAGCAAAAGTGAAAAGCTAATAAATAAGTGATAAATTATTAACATTGTACTTTTTGCTTACCTTAGGCAAAGTCTGAATTAAATGGGCATTTTTTAAATAAAATATTTATCTTTTTCAGTCCTTGCTTACGTCAACGTTGATATTTCATCTACTTCTCCAGAACCACTGGACAAACTTTAATCAAACTTGCTTTAACGACGTTGGATCCTGATATTAAAGTCTTAAACTTTTTTATCAAGGGAATTGTTAGTTTCTAAATACATATCTCAATTTAAATGCAAATCAAGCAAAGGGAGTTAATATGCTTCTTTTGGCGCTACAGTACATTTCATATTACCATTTGCACTGAAATGTGTGTCTAAATTGAAAATTAAAAATTACATCTTCGACGTTTTCCATCCAATATTTTTATCCAATTAAAGCATGAAACAAAATTAACTCTAAGTCTATTTAAAAAAGACATTTTAAAATTGTGACCAAGAAAAAGTTTTAATTTGCTTCGCATAATCAATTATTTGACCTTTCTGCACTAATAAGATGTAATTTTTCGGGCATTGAGAATTTAATAAGCAAGAAAATTATTTTAAAGTCTTTTACTTTTTCTGAATTAACAAATGGGTCAAAGTTATCTTTAATATTTAGAAAAGAAAATGAAAAGTACGGGTACATGTTGCAAATAACAAGTCTCATTAAGATTTATCTGTGGTCCCTTGTTATTAACTTATGTCTTCATCTTTAAAAAATGCCAAATAATAGATATAGGTAGCTTACGAAGCTGCGTTTTGAAGTTTGGGTCCTTTGATTTTTATGAATATCAAAAGAAACCACTGATATGCAAGTGATAAGGACTTGTTTTGTTAATCTTGTTATAGTGGTTCATTCAAATTGCCAAAGTTTTGTGAATAGAAAATTGTATTTATTGTTGATTGTAAATATTGAACATATCATATATATTAAAAAAGTGTAAATTTTACGTTAAAATCAGCTCAATTTTTTTCCCGGATTTTCAGAGTACATTAATTGTATTTGTCACACTTCGTTGAAAGAATTCAAAAGAAATAATGTAATAGATATTTCAGAACCTGCATAAAACATTTCAATGCTAAAAACAGCTTTATATGCAACCAGCATGGAAAAACTTTAATCTACAATTAACAGTACTGTTATAGTTCAAAAGGGAAAAAACTTATCTCTTTCTTCTAAAAAACCTTCCGCAACAAAATACAGTTTCTAGCTTAATTCTTCTTGAATGGAAATTGATCGCTGTTTTTTCATTAAATATGAAAAACTACCCTCTGGTATCTTGCACAAATGCCTGGTTAAGGATATAAATTTTTGTGAGTTCACATGTTAAAGTATTCATAATTCGAGCTCTATGAAAAAACCTTGGAAAAAATTATAGATTATTGAGGTATCTTGTGTATTTAAATGAACTATTAATGATATTATTATATAAAAACAGACATTATATCTAAAAACAAAATTCTATTAATTCTAAAATGAATGAGATATTTAACAAAAGTATTACTAGGTATAAATCAACAGATGACTAGCTATCTTTAAAAAATAAAGTCAACGATTGACTATGTTTGAACAAGACAAACTGCAGACACCAATTTATCCACAGCACAAGAAGTTTTCTTTGTTAAATGTTCTCAGGTCCTCAACCACTGATGAAACACAGACAGAATAACAAAGATGAATGCCTTCTTTTATATTTAAATTGTCCTCAGTCATTATCTTCATCTTTAATCTTCTGTAGAATTGAAATCAATCATTTTATTTTAAAAGGAAGTCTAGGTTTGATAAAACAAAATGCTTACAATTTATGGTGAAAACAATTCAATCTTAGTGATTTTCTAGTTTTTCTTCTTTTTTTGGAAAAGTTAAATGAGCTTACCAAATGCATTGTAGGGACCTATTTTTGTTTCATGGACCAATATAAACAAAATATTCAACCTCGGCATCCAGCTAGCATCAGGATCAGTATTCAAAATACAGTATTGCCAGGATCTGCAACAGCAAGCAAAGGATAGAACTAGCATAACTAGCAATAAACTACTTCGAATCAGAATAGACCTACTAGCATCACAAGATCGGTAAGGTTTTATTCAGTAAAAATCTGAAAAAGAGAAATAAAACTGGTTAATAATCATTCGAATTGTAAATATAAATTGAAATATAAGATCAAATGATTATTCAGGGCCTTACATGGCTTTTAACTACAACATTCTGAAATGTCTTTACATGTATCTACTTACGGTAGCATGTTACTAATTTCGGCAGCTCTGACCTACTTATGCAAAAAAAACAGCAAAGTAATCACCAGGATATGGATAACAAGAATTAAATCAGCAAGCAAAAGGACATTAAAATTACCATACAAAGAAAGCATTCCAATCAGTAGCTATGCTGTAACAGAATTAGTCCCTTTCACTGGATATTTAAAGTCTGTTTTTTTTGGGGGGGGGGGGGGGGGATTCAAGTAGTGATTCATTTGTTTAAATATGACTACATTGTTTTATAGTACAGGTGTGTATAAGAATGTTCTTTATTTTTGAAAGGGGTACATTAGTGACCAGATGCCATGTTCTTATAGGACTTAGACTTCCTACTAATGGTGAGTATTTCAGTCATAAGGACTCTTAAATGGGTAGCTGCTAGAATAAAGAAAGCTTAATTGCCAGACTGGCATATATCTCTCCACTTCTTAATTGCCGTATAACCTGTTTGTTTTGTTAAGTTTGAAAATTTGGAAGTACGCTTTGTTTATTTGTTTTGGGTTTTAAGCCTAAATTTGATTTATTGTGAGTTAAACATATAATACTATTGATGGCCAAAATGTATCTGGCATGTTTTCTTGAATTTTCAAAATCAATTATCAGAAATATTTTACCGTTGATACACTGAAGTTGATTTTTTTAATAGTTTCACAAAGAGAACAGTTATTTTGAAGTAGTTGTAAAGAATTAGATCTGTGAGAAAGAATTTATTCAGCAACAAGCATGTTTTACTGCAATATCAGATATTGCTAGACCTGTTTAATGCCCATCGAGAATTTATGTTAAATGTTAAATGTAAATATATTGCTTTCAAAAACATAATATTCTCTAAACTTTGTATTTAAATTTTTCAGTCTTAATATGCACTCAAAGAAACATTTATTTAAGGAAATATTCCAACATAAACCTTAATATTGCTTATGTTGGCAGAGCATAAACCAGGGAAATGTTATAAACAGAAAATGGAATTTTGTGTATTTTGGATATAGAAGTTATTTCACAAGTGAGACAGATTGTTTCAGCATGTACAATAGTGTGCATAGATATTTTTTAATACAACTACAAAACATTTCCTCTATGTATCTCTTTTATGTTTTATTTTTCCCGCTAGTACTCTTTAATCAATTCAGAATAGAGTTGTTTCCTCTTTTTTCTATCACCTATCCTTCCATCCTTCCATCCCAGTTTCCAAATAAAGTTTGTAAACATTTATTTTCTCATTAGAAATAAATGTAAAAAAAAAACTAAAAACAAAGTTTGTAAAACGAACCGTTTCATTTTAATTTTACTGAAGTCAGCTGGTAATTGATTGATTGCTGCAAGATGTATGAAATTCATAAGAATCTTTCAAATTTTCCTAGAATAACGGACATAACGTTTATTTGTTTGTATATTGTTTAACGTTCCTGTCCAGAATTTTTCCTTCAAATGGAGACGCAACTATTTCGCGGTGGAAGGGTACACATTTTTACAAAT